GATTTGAGATGCAATTAAAATTAGGCATTTATAATGAAATTGGGATCTGAGCATTCCTTGCTTGATCATTTGATTCAAATATCTTGAGCTCTACCCTTTCTCAGATTTCTCAAATTGGTAATAAACTTCCAAGGTTAAAGGTTGGACCTTCAGTGAATATTGATGCTCAAGTTTGTAATTGGTTTTCAGACTGTTCACATTGCTTTGTTTTTTTGATATTTTTCCATCAACCTGTTCAGAGATGTTATGACATAGCTTTGGAACAGGTAGGACCTGAGCCCAGTTGTCCTAGCTCAGAGGTAGGGACATTATTGCTGTACCACAACCATTTTCAGCTGAAGAAACAAGCACTGTTTATGAACACCTAAATAGAGACAGAGGAACTGCCATGCAGTTAGGAAATGAATTGGAAATTATCAACAAAGTAAAGGGACAATCAGATCCAAACCTTTTGCGCATCACAGTTCTTTTTGTGAATATAATGTGGGAAAGCCCCAAATGCTTGTGAGGATATACGTTTATGGGTTTCTTTATCTTAAATCAACGATGGCCAGATCCATGAAAGCCCCTGCTCAGAAACTGATGATCAAGTGCCCAAAGAATGGTGCAGAGTAGAGACTTTGATACCTTCTGCCGCGGTGGAAAACAAGCAAAAAAAATTGATGGCGGGATGTCTCAGAATTCTATCATCATAGAACCTTCGCATCCCTTTGAAGTATCTTGTATTTTACAGTACAGTTCAATTTTAAAGACATGTACTAATGCAACCAGTAATGGTCTTCATGTTTCTGTGAAATGGTCAGGCACTTTCTGCGACTAAATGGTAACAATATTAGACTCGGTACTGTGATATATTAGATGGTTCAGTACAATTTCCAATCTATGACCTGTTACAATATTTAGATTTCTTTAACTTTGATAAAGAGGCATGGGAAAAATTTTCTCTCCTTCTCTAGTTCTTTCACAGTGCCTAAGCTGTTGTAATAATGGTCAATTTATGCTTGGTTAGGTGGTGGTAATGGCAAAAGAGGTGAAGACTATTACATGTCTCAAAATAATATCTCCAAATCCAAGTGTATTTCTGGTATTGCATTTTAATTAACTTTATTCCAATTCTGGTCCAGGTGAGCTGCAGTATAGGATTGAAATGGAAACATAGTGCCATGTAACTCTTTCCCAAATACTATTCAATGAATACACAAGAGATTTGTGGTATTTATCACCGTTATGAATGTAGCTTAAATCTACCCAATGTCAAATGTGGCCTTAATGGTGTAAATACATGCTTTTGTTCAATTGTTCATCATTCTCAAATAATTATTCCCCAATAATTCTCAATAGAGACACAAGGGAGGGCACAGACCACATGGCCAAGACTCCACATCTACCATTTGTCTATGGGATTTCAAACAGGTCAGTAGATCGTCAAAGATCCTGTCATCAAGATCCACTCCAAACTCCATGAATGGTGCTATCCTGAGGATCAGTGCTAGCGTTGGCTAATATCTTGTACTGAAGAAACTTGTTTATCAAACAAGCCTCAGTTGGGTACCTTGGACATGCTGTACCAATTTTCAATTGCTCATTTCTTTGGGGACTGATTGTGAATTGCTATCCCACTCAGAGAGAGAGGTAAGCCTTTGGAACTCTCTGTCACAAAGAAAAGTGATAGAGGCCAAATGTCTTCAAAAATGAGTTAGACATAGTTGTTAGGGCTAAAAGGATCAAAGGCTGTGGGGAGATAGCAGAAACTGGGTTCTGAATTGGGTGATCATATTGAATGATGGAGCAGGCTCAAAGGGCTCCTGCTCCAATCTTTGATGTTTCTATGCAATATGATGATGTGATTGATGTTATACATTGCATCAGTACAAGATATATTTCCAAACAGAGTGAAGTGGAATCAAATTAGAACAATGATTTTGCTGCTATTCACTAAATACATTTGAATGAAGAGAAAGAACATCTGAATGGAAGGTTTAAAACTCCCCAGGGGCAGTAGCAGTACCATTGTTATACAGGTATTGATACTTTACAACATGGGTTTCCATTGAATCTGAGGAACAGGAACGATGACACCTTTCTGACTCAAATGACTATCAGAAAGAGATATCCTGGACACAGACAAGAGACTTGAAGCAGACTGAATATACGGTGCCCAATGGAACGGAGCTGGTTACAAGATTGGTGAGGTGCAAAGGTGGCATGCTCAGAACACAAAGCTTTCAACACAAGAAACAGAGAAATGAAGAACGTCAGTTGAAAGGAAACATTGGCTAAACTTCAAAAAATGGTAGAGCCAGCTTCTAATGTAGCATCTACAAAATTAACAGAATATAGCACACGGCGCAGCAAGTTTCAAAACGGGTGCACAGCAGATTTCAAAATGGCGTGCATAGTTCAAGAAAATTATTTTATTAATTTTCCAAAGCCGCTGTGCTAGGGTGGCCAATTCAGATAAAATTGTAACAAGTTTGGAAACTGGATGCCCTGGCATGCCTTGTTGAGATGCCCTGGCATGCCCTACTCAGAATGCCTGGCATGCCCTATTGAGATGAGCTGGCAAAGGGACAAGCTCTTTCATCAGGAGAACATTAGGATTCCAAGCTGCGGAAAAAAAAGTCTGAGTTTAAACTATAAATAAATGTCAACATGGCATGAGTTGTTTAAACTGACAAGACAACTGCAGTGACACCCGAACTAATCCTCAGTTATGTTGTGCACACCTGTAAGTTCAAACCTCCTGAAAATATCAGAAGCAACATACTAAACAAGTTCTTTAAATGCATTCAGAAACAAGTCTTTTTTTAAAAAAAAAAGATACCATCCTTATGATGGTCATGCTTATTTCCTGTGATCAAACTATTCAGTGGGGATTTCAAAAAGATTGAACCATCAGAATCCTTCTCAACAGAATGATAAAAAGTTGCCTAAGACTGACTAACACACCAGAGAGCGGTGAGGACTCAGTGCTAAATGGAGCAGATCAATGATCTAGAGAAGTGTGGAACAGGAAACATTTCTGAATACTGCAATGCAGTGTTATCTGACTGCATAACCTTCTGACTCAGAGGTAGGTGAGGCCACTACTGAGCCAAAGCTAACATCTTTCATGGGATCTTGGATTTTCCTTATCCATGCTCATCATATTGACATCACTTACTTCCCTGATACTTGCTTTGGCTCAGTCAGGTTGCATCTTGGTGTCAAATTGAACTCTGGTCTGAACTTCAAAACCTCTTTTCAATCCATCTCCAAGATTGTTTCTTTACGTCCTGTGCCCAACTTCATCTCACTTCTACCGTTGTGAAATTATCTCACTAAGGCTTTCTTTGCTGGTTTCCCAATCTCAATCCCAGAAAGCTTAAACTTCCTTAAAAATCTACTGCCCACAGTTTGACCCTGTACAAAGTTGCACCCAACATGCTGAATCCAAAATTCTCATCTCAACTTATCTCAGTACATTTATCTTCGCCCTATGTCCTAGCCGAGTCCACCCCTTTGTTACTTTAGCCCTTCTTTCTACAAGTCTGAGCTGATTCTGCTCATTCATTTGCTCACAGGTTTTAAAAGCTATATAAACAATCTTTATGACCTTGCTTTTGATTATCTCCTTTACTATTCAAAATCCATGCTGTCCAAATGAAAACATTTATTAGATCCTTGATGAACTAGTTACTAAACTCAAAGGGCATCAATAAATTGTCATTTTGTGTTGCTGCAGTGTCTCAGAACTCTCACATTAAACATTGACAGAGGAGGTGGCTGCTTTTCAGAAGGTGAAGATATTTTATCAAGTGCAGATCATCAAACATTTTACGAGTAGGAGGCAAGAGACATTTTTGAAGGAAAGGAGCATGATTCTTAAAGCCAGTTTAGCAAGGGAGAAAAAAAACTCTGCATTTTTGCAGGTTTCACTGCAGTGTCCTGTCATTCGCCATCTGGAACCCACTGAGAAAGTGATCTCTTCTTAAAAGATACAATGGAATCCATACACGTGCAGCCATCATGTGAACAAGGAAGCAAGGCCACAGAGATTTTCTTGTTTTACTAGGGAATTTCCAGATTGGAGAATAAACTTATTTTATTCACTGCTTTCCAGTTTGGTCAGATTTGGGAGGCCATGTCTTATGATTCCAAGAACAGTTAATTAAGATTTATCTGAAGCTACCTATTACTGAGTTTACAAGTCGCTAAACATAATGGCTGAGGTTGTGAGATGAGCTGCCACACAACTCATTTCTCACATGCTGTTCAATTTTAGAATAGGCAGAGAGTGGAAACAACTTATTTTGTAACAGGGTACGTTTCTTTTCCAGACAGCTCAATCTATCTTCGCTCTACAGGACAGCAGCCAACCATTGTTTGTTAGAAGTGTAGAATGGTCACGCTCACTTAACTTTCACTCTGCAGAAGGAAGTCCATGCATGGGCGTCTCTGCTTGGGAGGCTCACAGACAAATACAGACTGCAGTCAAATACGGAACTTCTGAAATTTAGTAGCTCGTACAGTTCTTGTACACAATCAATGAATGAATGTGGATATTTAGCCATCCATTGAAGTTCTGTTATAATTATTCTTAGTATGACTATTGATATGAGGTTCTAGATATAATCAGTGCTTTCTTTTCATCATTCTGTTGCATACTGTAGGATTCCAGTCTATCTGCTTGATTTTGGCATTCCATAGACATAATATCTGTAATGTATATCAATTGGCTGTTCTGAATATATTTTGGAGAAATGTGATTTAATTTCTATAGCATTTTGGTCCAGCATATTCCAGGTCATAGCGTGAATGAGACCTCCCTCAGTGTGAACCAGTAGCCCTGGGGCCAAGCCTTAAGCTTGAGACATTTGGTTTCCAAACGGCAATTCCAGTTGCCAATAGTTAGTGGTCCCTGCCCCGTAAGTTGTGTCATGACTGTGTGCCATTGAAGGCACCATTCTCGGCGTGAAAGAGCTAGTCCCTTCCCATCATGCTCTAGAGACCTCACCAACCTTCCCACTAAACTGAACCAGGGTGAGCGGTCGTAAAACGGGTCCTGGCCATCATGGTGGATCTGGTACCCTTCGTCTCCCCCCAGGTCAGAAAAGGGATCATCCAGAAAGGTTTCATCGTCCAGCTCCTCCTCCTCATCATCATCATCCTCCTCCTCCTCCTCCTCCTCCTCCTCCTCCTTCCCATCATGGTGCTCATCTGCGAGCTCAGTGATGTCAGAGTCAGGGTTCGAGAAGGTGGGGGAGGGGGTGAGATCAGCCATGCGCTCAGTCATGCAAGTGTTGAAAATGGGAGAACTAGTACAGCCAGAGACAGGGGAACTAGGGTTAGTACAAGACAAAGACATGTTAAAAAAAAAACTCATCATTCCACCAAGCTGTAGGAAACTCTCTGATTGACATTTGAAGTCAAGAGTCTGCACAAGTCCTCGCTATAATCTGAAGTCAGTAAGTTTGGGGCAGAAGTTGTTTCCTACTAACTATCTGTATATACAAGGAATTCTTGTCAGGTTGGCAATAGACAGAAAAGGGCAAGGTCCAACTGAGAAAAGACCTTAGTGGGAAAAAGCTGACATAGGTTTCCTAAAATAAAGATAACTGGGAAACTGCATTAAAATATGACATGACTGCAAAAATTAAAACCAGGTGAACAAATGATGGTGTAAAGTGATCTCAGTGCTGAACTGCCAATGGTGGGATACTGATCTCCACTTCACAGCAGCATCAGCTTTCCACTGCGGGTAGTATCACTGGCATATAACAAAATAATCACTGGCTTCACCTGGGTATTTGCCACTGTCTCCTGATCACTTCTGACCCATCTCTTGCTGACCTCATAGATCTCACACTTGGTTTTGGAGCACGCCAATCAAATTGAATGCCCTATCAGAGTATTTCATACAGCAAAGCTTGCACTTGGCATCCACATCACTGGACAGTCACAGGGGCATGCTGCTGCTGTTCGCACTTGCAATAAGTTATATAGAATCATACAGTGTGGACAGAGGCCATTCGGTCAATTGTGCTTATACTTGGTCTTTGGAAGAGTGAGCCAATTAATCTGCCTCTTCTGATCTTTCCTAAAACACTACAAATTATTTTTATCCCCTTTTCAAGTGTATATCCAATTTATTTTTAAAACTTTAGAAATAATCTGCTTCCACCATCCTCAGGCAGTGTATTCCAGAACAAAACATCTTGCTCCCTAAAAATATTCTGCTTATCTCCTCCCTCGTTCTTTTTGTCAGTAACTGACAGAGGCAAGGCCGAGAAGAACAATCAAGCATCTATGGTGTGACACGATACACCTACCATTCAACTAATGTAAGATTTTTTAAAATGTGAACAGTGAATGATTTTTGCTGGTGTAAGCAGTCAGAGGAATTAAGGGAAACCAGCCAAAGACTAGATCCAGGGATTGGAAAATTAGGCACTGAAGATCCCACCCACAGAACAATTCTCATCTCCCTCAATATCATTTCTAAAACACAGGAAAATGATAGCAAAATCAGGAGTGGATGTTCATTTGGCATTGGTCTTTAAGACGGGAGGTGTATGAAGATGTTTAGAAGACTAAAGTACCACCACTAGTCAGCAAGCCCTTTTAGGTCCCACTGATCTGAACTCAACTGAAATTTACCTGATTGAAAATTTTTTAGATGCATAGTTTCAGCCCAGGCTGCCTGCATTTGTCAATACAAATCAGAATCAGCAGGCACATGGATTGATAGGTGAAGTGGATGCCCAGAATGCAAGTTCACAAGGAAACTTTCAAAATTCAACATTTTCGAGTGAATTGTACAGAAAGTGTAACAGCATGTTGCAAGAAATCTTGAAAACAGTACTCATCATTTATCAGGGATATCACAATATGACAATCATTCTCTACACTCAATCCTCAGTAACAATATTTACTATGCATTGATCTCACTCTCTTTTATTAGAAGGGAATGTCTCTTTATGTGACCAAGAAAGGCCTTAATCCTATGTGTCATGGACAATTGACCCATTTATCCAAATATTGCAGATCACACAATGGTGTCTTTCCCAGATCAGATGGAAAATAGGTATGACAGAAGATACGGTATAGCGGGTGACTTGTACAGTATGCACATGGGAAATGATCACTGCAGGGTGTGGAGCATAGGAGTGATTAGTACAGGTTGTGCAACATGGTCTTTATTAATTGTGTTTAGTTCTACACAGTTGGTAAGCATTAACTGGGCATTCGCTCGTGCCCCTATAGATAGATGCAGACTGAAACTCTGGTTGCTATTTTAGGGGGTGGGATATTTTTCACCATAAATATTTCTCACATATTTAAGATGCGTTATGACACACCTTCGGGACTTGCACCTGTGCCTCCTGGTTGCTTGTTATAACATGTGACTGTGTAAATAAATGCATAGAAAGTATATATAGATTGGTTTCAGTTCTATCCTTCACCAACTGGCTTTCTGGAGTAGAACATTGTAGCAAAGCATGATTGTCTGAAAATGAAAGCAGAAAACTTTAGAAAAAAGTCTGACTGAAAGCTTCAATCTAGAAGTCATTGTGGAAAATATCAGCAAGCAAATATTAATTGTTGGATAATGATTAACCTTTGATCTTTTCAGAGTCTCAAATATGTGCCTAGTGGAAAAACAAAGTGGAAATATGGATGCAACTGGGTTCCATCTCAGCCGAAGAAGAGCAGAGTACGACTCGACGTTTTGATTCTGTCAAAGAGGAAAACCATGGGGAAAGTATTTTGTAAGCTGGATGTCCATTGGTTGGGCAGTGATGAAAATGGATAGTAATGAGTTATTGGATGAAATTTAGAGGAAAGGTAATTTGTCAAAAGCATACGATTCTTGATTGGATGTTTGAACAGGCGGTTATTTAACGGAAGAATAATTTCATGGACATTAGCGGATTATATTTAAGGATTAACAAAAATAATTTTGGCTATCCTCAATCATTATCAGCACTTAAACTGACAAATTGCTGGAGAAACTCAGCAGGTCTTGGCAGCATCTGTGGAGAGACAGCATAGTCAACATTTTGCGTCCAGTGACTCTTCTTTAGATCTGATGGTAGCTAGGGAAAGACGGTATATGTACTGAAGACAGGAGATGGGGAGGCTTAAAGGAGAAAACAATAGGTGGAGGTGGAGCCCAGAGACAGAAAGAATGACAGTTGAGCAGACAAAGAAACAGATGATGGTGAGCCAGACATAAAGCCTGATAATAGGGACCATGAGTAGGTGAATATAAGCAGGTTTTGGTGAAAGCAGCCCATGTTATAACAAGACCAGGGGTGTCAGGTGGGTAAAGGACATGGAATGGAGTGTTCAGGTCTTAAAATTATTCAATTCGATTCCCTCACACCCCTGGCCCTGGCATCACATGGAATGCTTTCATCATAGTCAACTCATTTTCACCCACCAATGGTCCTCATTAGCAAATTTTCTTTGCTCCCAGCTCACCATTGTCCATCCATTTGTCTGCCCAACTGCCATTCTCTCTCTCTCTCTCCGTCTCAGGGCTCCAGCTATCATTTACCCCTCTCCACTCTATATATATGTGTGTGTGTATATATATATATAATCTTTCCCTAGCTACAATCTGTTCTGAAGAAGGATCACTGGATCTAAGATGTTAACTCTGCTTTCTCTTGACAGATGCTGCCAGGCCTGACGAATCTCTCTAGCGATTTCTGTTTTTGTTTCAGATTTCCTGCATCCGCAGTTCTTAGTTTTTTTTTGTTGAGCATTGGAATGGCTGGCTTGAGCTAAGATATCCTGTACGGACAGGTCACAGTTCTAACTAGTGTTTGGTTCTTTGAGAAGGGGACACTGTTAGATTTGATGTTTGTTGCTTTTGAAAAGCTAGGAAAGTGGTCATTTTCTTTGGCCTTTGTGAAACAAATGGAGCATTCCACATGGCACAAAGAAGATTCAATGATTGCCAGATTTCATAACGATAAAGATACTGGATTGCAATTGTAAATATAATGGAAAGATTGAAGATGATCAGAATGGGGATGAAAGCACCCTAAACACATTTGGTTATTATAGTAAGAGACAGAATTTTAATAGCAATAATCGATAAATGAATTTATTACTGGGGCCATGCATTTAAGGTGAGAGAGGGAAAGTTCAAAGGAGATGTCAGGGGCAAGGTTTTTTACACAGAACGTGGTAGGAGTCTGGAATGTGCTGTCAGGGGCAATGGTAAGGCAGATACATTAGGGGCATTTAAGGGACTTTTAGATAAGCACATGAATATGCAAGGATTGGAGGGACATGGACCAAGGGCAGGCAGAAAGGATTAATTTAATTTGGCATCATGTTCGGCATAACATTGTGGGCTGAAGGGCCCATTCCTGTGCTGTACAGTTCTATGTTCTATAATCCCGGAGATAGCCAAAGGAACTGGTGGGTGAAACTAGAACAAGAGGGTGAAGCCTCAAAATTAATGGGAGCAGATTTAGGATTGAATTGAGGAGGAACTCCTTCACCCAAAGGGTTGTGAATCAGTGGAATTCCCTGCCCAGTGAAGTAGTTGAGGCTTCCTCATTGAATGTTTTTAAGGCTAGGATAGGTAAGTTTTTGAATAGTAAAGGAATTAAGGGTTATGGTGAGAGGGTGGGTAAGTGGAACTGAATCCATGAAAAGATCAGCCATGATCTTATTAAATGGCGGAGCAGGCTCGAAAGGCCAGATGGCCTACTTCTGCTCCTGGCTCTTATGTTCTTCTAAATGTGTCAGTTACGGCTTGAAGCATTATTATTCGGTGAGGCAAGATGACACATGAAGAGAATTATGAAGAAGAGGTTGGAGATAATAATGAACCCAAACAAAATGATTTTTTTTAGTCTTGCGGTGAATGCGTTAGTTTGGACTCCTTTAACTGTGCTACACTGGATAGCAATGTTGTGTTGATTCATTAAGTTGTGAAGTTCAATGCAAGGTTAAGAAATACAAATGAATTACTTGGTTTAATCTTAGTGATGACAACACGTTGAGGCCACTAAGAAAAGTGGAGCCCTCATGTAAACTGGATCAGAACAATGTTATTTTCAGTACTGATGCAATCATGAGTGAGGTTTCTATACAGCTCATTAAACCTTCTATGTAAAAGGCACAAATGAAATGTGACAGAGAACAACAAGACATTTAGAAAGTCAGTGGATCTACAGTCAACTCAGTTAGGAGATTATTGTATCTTCTCTAAAAAAAACGTTACTCATCAGTGTTAGATAAGTATTAATGATTTCAGATACTAAGATTCACAGAAAAAAAAATAACGTTAACTGAGAATCACATGGACAATGGCTTA